AGTGGGATATAAAGATATATATATATATAAAGCTTTATGAATATTTTTAGCTAGGCATAATTCTTCAGCTTAATTGCAAATTCTCAGACTGTGCATTGCCAGCTTTGCAGTCGTAATTAAAGCGATTTTTTAATGGCCGACAGCAGCAAGAGAATATTCTACATAGAGCCTAAGATATATGTATGTATAAAAATTCAATTAATTATTAATTTGCTCAGTGTCGGGGCCGTAGATCTAGCTAAGGCGTTGTCTTGACAAGCGCAGCGGGTAGCGTCTGGCAATTTTTGTGCCTTGTGGGCCGAGGGCCTTTGGGGGCATGTGGAGGGTAAAAATGTGTTGCATACATTTCGGGGCAGACGTCTAGGAAGGCGGCGGCACACGGCATTTGGGGGTGGACTGGGCGGCGATTGACAGGTGTCGAAATTCGTAATATTGAAGATTTCATTTCGAGCTGAGTCCCAGAGCATTGCTCGAGAGAATTATTGAAAATTGACTAACAAATTGAATTTCGCCTGTCAATGGTGGCAATAACCGGATACCCTAGGCTCCGCATATAAATCAGCTGGCAGACACAAGTTAGTTGGGTTGGGGCAGGGGGCGGCTAGTGGGGCTAGCCTTAGCCGGGTTCTGTGACTTGGTGTGGCGAGTGCAACGAATGCACCTTGACATAATGATGGTCATAAATTGGTGTGACGGGCCGCACGGCAAACAACGTTGACATTTATAAATTTACGAGCCAGTGCAGGAGCGAGATGCCGTGCAACAGATGTGGTCCAAGGCGCAGCGCGCAACCGCATCACAGCAGGCGAAAGGCAAAAGGCAAAACTCGAAAGGCGTAAGGCAAAAGACGACAGACAGGGAGGGGCGAGCACAAAGCGTGTTTGGCTAACAAATTGCCACATGACGGCATTTCAATGTGTGGCTCTGAGCGCTGGCGTACAGATTGGGGATTGCGGGAGCAGCGCTGGAGTGATGTCTGCCTTGGGATGTGGGATGTCGGATGACGGACGGGCGGGCGGGCGTACGGGCGGGCTGATATGGTTAGTGTTCCTGGTACTCGGCATTGTTATTATGCCCTTAATAAGTTACTCATGTGGGTGTCGTGTTGAAAAATGAATGCCTGAAACAAACATGCACGTACCAACAGCAATATCAACAGCCAGTCATCCGAATACAAACTTGAACCAGCTAAGTAAACAACATTATAAACATACTCATCATCGTCATCAGCAGCATCAGTAGTAGCAGCCAAAGCAGCAGCTGCACGGGCAAGCAGCAATGGCGGTAGCGGATCCGGAAACGGAAACAAGTCATAAAACTGCAGATGCTAACAACAGCAGAGCCCCCAAAACCTACAGCGCTGCCCACGTCTGACAGCGCGCAAAGTCGAATTTCATTTTTATTGAAATATAAAACAAACAACTTGACGATAAAATATCTAGAGCTAAGTATGCCTTAGATGGCAATGACAATGACAATGACAATGACAATGACAATGACAATGACAATGACAA